ATGCTCCCTCCCTAGAGCTACTGCTGGTTTGTTGACGGAGCCCTGGGTAAAGGGCTGGGGAGAGCAGACCGTGGGCACCCTTTGCCCAGTCTTAAGCAACAGGAGTGATAACCTTGCCAGTTGTCTGAGGCTGGGGCTGACGAGTTGTTTCGTTTACAAAAGTGCCCCAAGCCAAAAAGCTGCCGCCAGCAGAGGTAGGAAGGAGCCTCTGAGATGTGTGGTGGCAGGCCCCCTGTTTGCCTGAGCAGAAAGCTAATGTTGGACATTGTGACCCCTTCTTATTGATGTTGATGTTTCTGGTTCTTGCCTGTGTGGGTTTGTGTGTGTGTGTGTGTGTGTGTGTGTGTGTTATCCCTGCTGGGACTGGTTGGGTGAACCTAGAACAGTGAGACTTGGGAGAAAATAAAACTTTGTTAACTGGTGACTCCACTGAAGGGTTTTGGGAGAGAGGAATACTTGCCATCCTGCCCTCAGGGTGAGACCAGTGCCTCCGATGGGCACACCTTCTCCTTTTAGCAGTCCCCTTGTCTGTGGCTCCATGGACCTCACCCACTGACTCTGCTGAGCCTGCTGGTTTGCATTTAGCTCAACTGGGAGGGAGTCAAGTGGGCCCGTGTTGTAGGCCAGCAGTCTCTTGACCACGGTGCCCACTGCAACCCTCTGAGGCTGTTTGCCGTCTCTAGAGAACCTCTTAACTATATGCCATTGTCATTGCCTTCCTCCTCCCCAACTCTGATGCCTTTCTCAGACTTTGATCCTGTTGAGGGCGAACTCTTTCTCGAGGGGTGTTCCTATGCCCCCTGACTCTCACCCAGGGAATAGCAACGGCATGCACTCCAGGGCTCTCGGCTCTAGCTGTACTTCCAAAGTGCTCCATGACTGAAAAAGAGGGGACCCACAAGCTCTCTGGGCCTCAGGTTCCTTTTTGAGAGAATGAGAGACTCCTTTACTGTTCCACCCTCCTCTGTCCCAGCCCTCACCTGCGAGGGCCCTCTCCTTCCATTCCAGCTGCACTCGCCTCTCCCTCTTCTGCATGGTAACAATGGAGTCGGAGCCACAGAGGGGAGCACTTACTGTTCTCCAGGCTCTGTTGGTTTTGCTTCTCATTCAATGTGAGCCCCTTGGACTCAGGAATCCTGAATTGTATGGGTTTTCCCTCTTCTACCCTCTAGCACAGTGCAGGGTACTTAGGAGGGATTTAATAACTGTTGCCAGTTTGGTTGGGTTCCAATGAGTGGAGTAGGTGGGGTTGTTTAATGCTAAGTTGAAGTTATTCTGATCTGAGATCAGAAGAAAAACTTTAGACATCAGCTTTGAACTTGAGAGAAACCTATTGAGAGATGATGGTTTAAAAAAAATTAACTATTACTGTTAGTGCTTTAAAGGCTTCAGCTCCTTTGACCTGAGGGCCCGAGCTGTCACATGGGTGTTGCATCTCTCGGGGGGGTTGTTCCTGGCTTGGATGGGTGTAGCTTTTCTGCAGGGGGAAGGGCATGTCATCCACACAGAGCGGTAGAGATTTCCAGGATCGTTTAGACCAGACTGGGAGGCAGGGTCTGATTACAGCCGTAGCAATCCTGCATGTATGATTTCCAGAGATTGGAGTCAGATCACAGGGAGAGAGTGCTGAACCTGAGCGACTCCAGCTCCACGTTAGCATGAAAATGTCATTGCAGCAACAGTGCCTGGCTTCCCCTGCTAGTTCCTCAGGCCAGCTCCTCTCTTCTTCTCCCCATCTCTACCAGTCCCCCACCCCCGGCTTGTTTTACCCACTGTGGCCTTTAGACCTTTGCTTGGGTGGTAGGCTTTTGGATGGATTTATACTTAACTTCTCAAGATCTCCCTTGAGCATAGCAGAGCTTGTTAGGAATGGTCCCCTACAAGGGAATGCAAGTGCTATTTCTTTTTGGCTTCAGAGAAAACTGTATCCTTTTGTTTGTATTTGATTTACCTTTTTGATTGTGTCTGATATAAAATTTTTATTTCTTGAGCAACGGTGGGAAAATGTAAGTGGGACAGTCCAGCATTAACGTCTGCCTCAGGTTACCCCAGAGTGGCAGGCAGTTGAGGATGGCTTGGGTTAGATGCCATCCCTCCTAAGTACCCTGTACTGTACTAGACAAGAGATGGTAGAAGAGGGAAAACCCCTGTAATTCAGGATTCCTCAGTCCAAGGGACTTACCCGCTCATTTCTTTGATGAGGACCCTGGTCCAAAGGCATGGGGCAGCAGTGTTGTGGGCACCCAGTAGACCCTCAGGAAACTATTGGCATTTCTTCACTTCTCTTCCTGTGAGGCTGGCCCCCTCAGACCCTGCTACTTTATTCTTCCCCAGCCCCTCGTATGTTTGGAGCTCTGCCCTTTGCTCCAATTAGGAGGAGAAAACATTTGGTTTCTTAACAGGTGCCTTCTGACTCCTGGTTTGTGGGGCTTGCTACGCCTGGGGCAGGTCAGAAGTACTATTTACTTAGAGAGGATGGAGAGGCAAGGTGGGGCAGTCCTCTTTGGGGGATGATGTTTTTTCTTCTCTTCATGACATCTCTGGCTCTCGTTCTTCCCCTGGTGTCCTCCTGCCCCCCTCTGCTCTTCCTCTCTCACTTCCTCTCTCTCCCCACCTTCTCCATCCCCCTGTTGCTTTCTGTCCACCTCTCCTCTCTGCTTGCCTCTTGCTCTTCTCCATCTCTTACTCGCCATCTGCAGCCTCTCAGCCTCTCCTTCTGTGCTCTTGTCTCACCGTGGTCTCCTCAGTGGAGTACAGTAGGAGCGTCACAGGGTTGTTTTTTTCGCCTTCTTTGCGTGTTACAAGTCCCTCTGCTACACCCATACCATAAATAACACTCGAGCATCTGCCAAACACATTCCTCACTTGTGTTAATAGGCTGTGATGATGCTGGAGCCTGTTGCCATGGCAACCTCATTTTTGTTTGACTGTATCCCACTCTGCTACATAAAGCTCTGCATGCACTCACACACAAACAAGCACGCTCACACAACTATTACATATGCTGAGCTATTAAAGGTTTTTTTGGAGAAAAATCTCTGAGCCTTGTGAGGGTGGGTGGTCATTTTGCCAAGGAGAGGAGCGTT